TACAGAATTGAAAAGGCACTTTTAATGACCACAGATATATAATAGTTATACATATTTATGGGGTACATGTGTTATTTTGATAAAAGCATATAATGTATAACAATCAAATCAGAGTAATTGGGATATCTATCACCTCAAGCAGTTATCATTTCTTTGTGTCAGGAACATTCCAATTCCACTGTTTTAGTTACTTTGAGATATACAATAAATTACTGTTACTGTATTGCATGTGCTCACTCATGTGTGGCAACTAGAAGAAACTATCTTCTGAACTCATGAAGGTAGTAGAGTGACAGTTACCAGCAGCTGGGAGGGGTAGTAGGAAGGAGTGCAGATAAAGAAGGGATGGTTAATAAGCACAAAGTACAGTTAGATAGAAGGAACAACATCTGGAGTTTGGTAGCACAAGAATTTTCATTTTAATTGGCATTTTACCACCTTTTTCATTGATACAATTTCTTTTCTCCACATTTGTTTCTCTGAGTCTGTCAAAATTTTAAAATTGTACATTTTGTCTTTATTTTACTGACTATAATTTCTTCTGTTTTGATAAAATTAACTAATTTAGCCAAAGATATAATGTTTTGATTCCCATCGTTGAACAAATGCCATTTTTATAAAAAATCAGCATGTATTCTATACTTCTTCTGGCATTTTACCAACTCATTAGAGATCTAGAAATTATCTATAATTTCTATGATCTAGAAATTATAGATTTCACATATAATAAGCTCTTAAATTGCCAGAGTAATTCAAGATTTATAAAAAGTTTATATTTCTGTGAAAAACTTTCATAATGAACATGGTGGGCTGCCTTAGAAGATCCCAGCATTTCCACTGAAGAACATGACTTTGTCTTTACTACTGAGGCCAGCTTTTCCTTTGACAACCAAGTATGGAAAAAAATGAACAATGTCAAGCAGTTGCATTATTTTTAATGGCAAAAATTGCAAATACTTTTGTACCAACCTAATATTTCTCTACTATAAGAAGGGCTGACATTCAGGGACGTTTGAGTGGGTCACAGAGAATATGCAGTGTGAGAGAAGGAGCCATGTTAAAATATCATATTGGTGTCTGGCTTTGCCTGTTCCCTCTCAACCTGTAAAATGGCTAAGAAAAGCTTTTCTTACTGCAGTAAACCCATAAAGGGGACATGAGCAGAAACTTTCATCCTTCTTACTGGGTAGGGTCTGTGTATCCGCTCCTTTTGAACCAGACAGTGCCGTTTAGTGATGTGTGGTCACAAATGCCTCGTTCCCAATTCTGAAGAGAATAACGTGGCTTTAACATATATTGTCAAGTAGCCAATTAAAGAAGGTTTTTCCACTTTTTAAAGCAGTATTAGGGTGTTGTCTGGATAAAACTTCTGTCATCATATCATACTGGAACACCTGTTGAACAGATATAACTGAACTTAAAATGATAAGGTGGTTAAGGTATCAGATTTGGAATAGGATTAAAAACAAGGCAGGCGAACTTGAGGAGGCTCTAGAGTCTTCGTTACTTATGGCATTAGTTTTTCTTTTTTTAAAATGACAGTTATAGCTCAAACAGTTCCTTTTGCATTTACAAAGGAAGTCTTAAAGTATAAATTAATTTTAATGAGTAGTCTGTCTACTGATATATACATACATATCTTTAAAGACATTCCAGCTGTACTTATCAACATCTGGAAGCAGTATTGGGCAAACCACATGCTTAGTTCCTAACTTCAAACATTTTTTGAAAGGAATCTTTTATAAACTCTGGAAGGAGGCTGTGAATAGTTACCAGAAAGGCACACTTTTTAATATATTATAATGTCTGAGTTGTTGGAGTCAGATACCTGAAACTGTCAACTCTAAAGCAATTGGAGCTTAGCAAAAAGAGAAAAACATCAGCAAGAATGCAGATAGATCGAAAGAGCTGAATCTACTATTGTACTCTGGGAAAGCTTTTCTTTCTTTTTCTCCATTTTTCTTTAGTTTCTCTCCCTCTCTCTCAATCTTTCTCTTTCTTTGTTCTAAATTTCAGAAGCCACATAGATGGCATATGTTCCAAAAGATGTGGTTGATGATCCTCTGACCAATCAGAAGAATAACAAACTTTTATGGACAAATAAAAGGCTACTAAAGTCTAGCTCCGCTGGAGGCCATTATCCTAAGCAAGTTAATGTAGAAACAGAAAACCAAATACTTCGTGTTCTCACTTATAAGTGGAAGCTAAACATTGGGTCCTCATGGACATAAAGATATAGGAGGAGAAGGGATGCAAAGGTTGAAAAACTATTGAGTACTATGTTCAGTACCTGGGTGATTGGCTCATTTGTACCCCAAATCTCAGCATCATGCAATATACTTAGGTAACAAACCTGTGTCAGAGGGACATACCCTCTGACTCTAACATAAAAGTTAAAAGAAAGAAACAATATGAGATGTTCAGGGCTAATAAAGATAAATGAGTGGTATTAAAATAGTGTTAGTCTGGGCTGTGTGGTTATGTTGTCCAGCCTGCCACCACTAGACTGTATGTAAGGTGGGTATCTTCTCCAGCCTACCACCACTGGGCCATTTCTGTATGTAAGGCAGTTCTCCTGTTTAGCTCACCGCTACTGGACTCTCTCCTGTATGTAAGCCCTCATGTCTTCTTGAAAAAATGATGTTAGTGACAATTTTCACTATGGAATAAATGACAGTATGATGGGGAAAAAATAAAATCCAGCTTTACATATTAAGAAGCATAGAATAAGTGAATGAAAAAGGAAAGAAAAGAGGAAGAAAGAAAAATGAGAAAATATGCTTCAGAGGAAACATATTACCAACAAAACAGACAGATGATGACAGACCGGGCTGAGACTAGATTGGTAAGACATAGGCAATGCAGAACTGGGATCCCAAGGTACATCAGAATCCATGAACTCATTAACTTGTTAATGCAAACCATGTATCAATACGATGTGCCTGGCACTAGGAAAAAGCTGGAGGTTTCAAAGGGAGAATAAATACTTTCCCTGTCTCTGTCCCCCAGGTGCATATTGACAATGTTGGGGGTGGGAATAGTGGACACATTTGTGATGTGTTTATGATGCTGTATGTGTGTAGACAATACAGTAGGGATTCAATGGAGGAGTTATCAGTTTTTCTTGGAAAAGGGGATTCTTTTCCAGACTTTTGAAGGATCCTTTTGAAATGAGCCTTTAAACTTGTAAACTTTTTGTTTGTTTGTTTTACATTCTTTTTATTTTATTTTATTTTATTTTCCCCATTTATTTATTTTATTGCATTTTAGGTTTTGGGGTACATGTGAAGAACATGCAAAATTGTTGCATAGGTACACATGTGGCAGTGTGATTTGCTGCCTTCCTCCCCATCACCTACATCTGGCATTTCTCCCCTTGCTATCTCTCCCCAGCTCCCCACCCCCCACCATCCCTCCCCTATTTCCCCCCAACTGACCCCAATGTGTAGTGCTCCCCTCCTTAAAACCAGTTTCTGGTATAGTGAAATAGAAGTATTCAAAATAAGAATTAATCACCATACCAACCCCAATAATTAGTGATCATAATGCTGCCTGAGACCCATAAGAAAAGTTTTTGTGTTTAGTATAACTCGTATGTGCATGAACAACATTCTGGCATCGGGCATTGAATTAACAATTGTGTAATGAGTGAATAAATGTGGTAAAGACCTTGTCTCTCAAAGGATTACCCTTTGATTGCCTGGATAATGTAGTACTCATAGGTCCTCTGTATTACAGAATTGTGAATTGCATATCTAGGTAGGATATAGTCCAAACTGTATCCTAGGATTATCGTAGCTCACTATTGAAAAATAAGCACATTTGCATGTTACGAAAGAAGAGCAGAAGAGTGTAGGAACTGGCATTGGATCAGGCATACTTTCAGAAAAAGTATTATCTGTGATTGGGAAATAACAGTGTGCAGGGGACTGTGATATAGTCCTGGCCTTAGATTGCTGCTCAGAAGGTGTCACTGAGGGAGAGTGAAAATCATTTACAAAGGTATGAAATTCATCCGAGGAACCTGCTTCAGTGCCATCTCATCTTCGGAGGAAGATGGATGATGCAAGTGGCTGGGGTCCTTTTCTGCCCATGGAGCCTACAATGTGCTGGGATTTTGAATTCCATAGAGCTGTGATTCCTCTAGTTGGCTGTGTATTTAGATTTTTCATGCTCATTCTAGACCCACTAAACCAGACCTTCTGACCCCAGGGCCAGGGACCCTATATTTATATAAAGTTCTCTAAATAACTTGGTTGATGAGCCAGGCTAGTGACACACGAATAGCATGTTAATTGTATTACCTACATAGATGGCATTCTTTGATTCTAACACATAAATGGGCTGTTTCCTCATTAAACTCATCCATACATCAGTCAATATTGATAAAGAGAAGAATATCCCAAAACTCTAGGTTTAAGTTTCTGACATTTTACCAACTTGTTATCTAAAAATTATAGATTTTATATATAGTGAGCTCTTAAATTACCACAGTAATTCAAAATTTATAAAGCGTAATTTGCATTATGGGGTTCCTATTTCCACCTAATGTTGTGGGGTTCTATAGCTCACTCTTGGAAGTTCACGTTACCTATCCCATATATATTCTGTGGGTGGGAAGATGTGGTTTTTTTGGAAATTCGGAATGCAGGTCAGAATGTTTGTGATAACTACTCACTCTGCAAATGAAATGCATTGCAGCATATAAATCCAAGATATTATGATAGTTATTGTTGACATTGCCTCTGCTTACTAATTACCTGAAGACCAGTTCATCCACTAAATCTCAGCTTTGAAATTGAGATTATGAGAAATTTATATAATATTAAATGGCTAGCTATCCTTTAAAAAATTTGTCTTTCAATGTTTACATGACTAAATGTATGAGACACAAAATTGTAACACATAGATGAATAGGTCACACATATGAAAAGAGATCCTACTGGGATCATTCTCTAATTCTAAGAGAATGGTTGAGGAGAAACAACAGGAAATCCAAGTATACAAGTATGAAGCAATTTTAATGTACTGAAACCAAGTTATATAAAACAAAGTATTTTTAGAGATTAATTTTGGTTACCTGCATTTTAAAAATTATGTTGTCAGATAAAGGCAATAACGAATAATCAAATTATTTGAAAAGTATTATCTTAAACAAAAAATTCTTACTGATTCAATTTTAAAGATTTATAACATAAGTACAAGTTTCCCAACTAAGAAGAACAGTGATTCCTCCCTCCAGAGAACCTGGCAATACCTGAATAAGACATCCAAATAAACATTTTAAATTTTCAGAAATTACCCTAAAAAATACAAATAATCCTGATATCCAAATCAGAAATTGCAGCATAGATTGGAATAAATATACTAGTACTTAAAATTGATTGATAAATCACCACTGGAGTAACTAAAATATTTTAGACGTTATAGGAAGATACGCTGATATTTTCAAAGATGTTAGTATGTCAGAGACACTTTGCATAAAGTATTGCTAGTTACTGGATATAATAAAATAGAATTATTCTAAAATCTTTCCAAGGATAAAATTGTATTACTATACTGGCAGTAAAATGTACAATTAATAAAGATGCTGTAGCTATGTTTTCCCACAGTGAAATCCTTGCATAAGAGAAATACCCATAATCATTGTCTACAGAAATTATTTAAGATATGCTATTATACTAAGAAATAGAAACAAAATTACCTCTGTCAAACTGTACCATAATGACATTAATTCGATACTATAACATCCATCTCTATTTTAAGAATTAGACATTGTCTGTAGTTTTGGTATGAGGAGGTTCAATAAGAAAGATATTAAAATACGGTTTGACCAGCAGAATTTCACTATGAGCTGAAAATTTAGATGATTAATAAACATTAATGGAATGGTGACTGTCTCATTATGCTTTTTTAGTACGGGAAACAATTAAAATATGTACCTATTAAAATGGTGACTTTTGGGAGTAAAGAATTCACATTAGCTGTTCAGATAGTTAGATTCATCAGTATATTTCACAATATATTTTATTTCCCTGGTGCGTATGTATATATGGATATTATTGAACTTTATAATTCATTATCCCCATGCAAAGAAGTAAACTAAACAAAGGTATTTAACTAGTAAGACATGGTTGCTAAATGCATATACACCTTTTTAAATGCATATACACCTTTTTTTTTTAAACAAGTTTATACAGCCTGTTCTTGTTAAATATTTTAGCAAGAACTAGGTTTTAAAGCTTGAAAATTATAGTTATCCATTCTGAAATGACATTTCTCATGATTTTACTCCTTGTCACTTATATGTACTTAAGCTGGCCTACATATCTTTGAACAGTATAGGCGAAGAAAATAGAATATGGTATTAGAATTCACCTTCACTTGACAGAGATCCAGATGTGGTTATCTGGGTAAGAGCCCAGGATACTTGGATAGAGAGATAGGTTTGCTGGTTTATACCCTAGGAAGAGTGAAATATTTACCTTGATTCTATTGAAAATGGATAAAAGCAGTACCATCACTATGACCTAGGAAAAGGGAAAATGTAAAGCCATTAATATGGAAGCCCATTCAGAAACATTTTCTGTGAACGATAGGAGGACCAGCCTCATCATATTCTTGCTTACTGATCCACATCTGCTGGAATGTGGACAGGCTGGCCAGGATGGAGCCCCCAATCCAAACAGAATACTTCCTCTCTGGGGGAGCTATGATCTTGATTTTCATGTTGCTGGGTGCCAAGGTTATGATTTCCTTCTGCATCCGGTCAGCAATGCCTGGGTACATGGTGCTGCCTCCGGATAATACAGTGTTGGCGTAGAGATCCTTGCGAATATCCACATCGCACTTCATGATGGAGTTGAAGGTTGTCTCATGGATCCCACTGGACTCAATGCCCAGAAAGGAAGGCTGGAAAATGGCTTCAGGGCATCGGAAGCGTTCATTCCCAATGGTGATCACCTGCCCGTCAGGAAGCTCATAGCTCCGTTCCAGTGAGGAGGATGCAACTGAACTGACCATCTCCTGCTCAAAGTCCAGGGCCACGTAGCACAGCTTCTCTTTGACATCTCGCACAATCTCCCGCTCAGCAGTGGTGGTGAAGTTATAGCCTCGCTCTGTCAGGATCTTCATGAGGTAATCAGTCAGGTCTCTGCCTGCCAGGTCGAGGCGGAGAATGGCATGAGGCAGGGCGTAGCCTTCATAGATGGGCACGGTGTGAGTGACCCCATCCCCAGAATCCATCACGATGCCTGTGGTCCGTCCTGAGGCATAGAGGGACAACACAGCCTGGATGGCCACATACATGGCTGGTGTGTTGAAAGCCTCGAACATGATCTGAGTCATCTTTTCCCGGTTGATCTTGGGGTTCAGGGGTGCCTCGGTGAGGAGGATGGGATGCTCATCTGGTGCCACACGGAGCTCATTGTAGAACGTGTGGTACCAGATCTTCTCCATATCGTCCCAGTTGGTGACCACTCCATGCTCAATAGGATACTTCAGGGTCAGAATGCCCCTCTTGCTCTGAGCCTCATCTCCCACGTAGCAGTCCTTCTGGCCCATGCCTACCATAACACCCTGGTGTCGAGGACGCCCTATCATGGAGGGAAACACAGCTCGGGGCGCATCATCACCACCAAAGCCTGCCTTGCACATCCCTGACCCGTTATCCACTACCAAGGCAGATAGCTCATCATCAGTCATGGTGCTGGCCAGGGTCTTCCAGACGAGTCAACAGGAGTCAAATAGACAGTAAATAAGAGAAGTGGACAGGCCTAAAACACTCCAGAAATGCCTTCAGACAGGGGAGGCTGCAGCGGGGCCACAGGTATTTAAAGGAACACACTGGCCCCACCCATATCCTACTCCACCAGTTTCCAGCATTTCTGGGTGAGGTCACCTTTGAGGTCTTGATGATGATGCTGATTATATAAGTCATTAGACCTTTCTTCATAAAGAGAAAATTGGCTGCCAAGTGGTCAAATCTCCGGTTCCTGTAATTAGGCAACCCACACACGACTGTCAGCCTGCCTGGTAAGGTCTCCAGATAACTATGATGATGTAGTGGGGGATATAAAAGCAAGATGAAAGAAAGCTGGTGCTAGGTTTGGCAACACTGCTGGGAGGAAGTTTCCCTTCTTAGCATCCTTCAGGGTTCACTTTCCCTACACTAGCTTTATCTTTCTATTTCTTGTTTGTGAAGCTTTCCAAAAGAAATGTATTTTATAGAGTAGTTTGACAAAGACAAGTACAACTTATTTGGTGGTGTTTGTATTCAAATGTAGATTCTGTGGTATATATTGATTAGGAGGTCTTGGATGGAAGCCTGAGAGCTATTTTTGTTTGTTTTTTAATTGTACTTTAAGTTCTGGGGTACATGTGCAGATCTTGCAGGAATGTTGCATAGGTACACATATGCCATGGCGGTTTGCTGTCTCCATCCCCCCATCTATATTATCCTTTCTCAACCTCCCCCCCCCCCGCTGTCCCTCCCCTAGTCCCCCACCCTGCAACAGACCCCAGTGTGTGATGTTCCCCTCCCTGTGTCCATGTGTTCTCATTGTTCAACACTCGCCTATGAGTGAGAACATGTGGTGTTTGGTTTTCTGTTCTTGTGTCAGTTTGCTGAGAATGATGGTTTCCAGATTCATCCATGTCCCTACAAAGGACACAAACTCATCGTTTCTTATGGCTGCATAGTATTACATGGTGTACATGTGCCACATTTTCTTTGTCCAGTCTATTGTCAATAGGCATTTGGGTTGGTTCCAGGTCTTTGCTACTGTAAACAATGCCGCAATGAACATACGTGTGCATGTGTCCTTATAATAGAACAATGTATACAATCCTTTGGGTATATACCCAGTAATGGGATTGCTGGGTCAAATGGAATTTCTGTTTCTAGATCTTTGAGGAATCGCCACACTGTTTTCCACAATGGTTGAACTAATTTACCCTCTCACCAACAGTGTGAAAGTATTCCTATTTCTCCACATCCTCTCCAGCATCTGTTGTCTCCAGATTTTTTAATGAATGCCATTCTAACTGATGTGAGATAGTATCTCAATGTGGTTTTGATTTGCATGTCTCTAATGACCAGTGATGATGAGCATTTTTTCATATGTTTGTTGGCCTCATAAATGACTTCTTTTGAAAAGTGTCTGTTCATATCCTTTGCCTACTTTTGAATGGGTTTGTTTGTTTTTTTTCTTATAAATCTGCTTTAGTTCTTTGTAGATTTAAGGATATTAGCCCTTTGTCAGATGGGAAGATTGCAAAAATTTTTTCCCATTCTGTTCGTGGCTGGTTCACTTTCATGATTGTTTCTTTTGCTATGCAGAAACTCTTTAGTTAGATCCCATTTGTCTATTTTGGCTTTTGTTGCTATTGCTTTTGGTGTTTTAGTCATGAAGTTTCTTGCCTATGCCTGTGTCCTGAAGGGTATTGCCTAGGTTCTATTCTAGGGTTTTTATAGTGTTAGGTCTTATGTTTAAATCTTTAATCCATCTGGAATTGATTTAATATAAGGTGTAAGGAAGGGGTCCAGTTTCAGCTTTCTGCACGTGGCTAGCCAGTTTTCCCAACACCATTTATTAAACAGAGAATCCTTTCCCCATTGCTTGTTTTTGTCAGGTTTGTCGAAGATCAGATGGTTGTAGATGTGTGACATTACTTCCAACGCCTCTGTTCTGTTCCATTGGTCTGTATCTCTGTTTTGGTACCAGTACCATGCTGCTTTGATTACTGTAGCCTTGTACTATAGTTTGAAGTCAAGTAGCATGATGTCTCCAGCTTTGTTCTTTTTGCTTAGGATTGTCTTGGCTATGCAGGCTCTCTTTTGGTTCCATATGAAGTTTAAAGTGTTTTTTTTCCCAGTTCTGTGAAGATTAATGGTAGCTTGATGGGGATAGCATTCATTCTATAAATTACTTTGGGCAATATGGCCATTTTCATGGTATTAATTCTTCCTAACCATAAGCATGGAATGTTTTTCCATCGGTTTGTGTCCTCTCTTATTTCCTTGAGCAGTGGTTTGTAGTTCTCCTTGAAAAGGTCTTTCACATCCTTTGCTAGTTGTATTCCTAGGTATGTTATTCTCTTTGTAGCAATTGTGAGTGGGAGTTTGCTCATGATTCAACTCTCTGTTTGTTATTGGTGTATAGGAATGCCTGTGATTTCGGTATATTGATTTTGTATCCTCAGACTTTGCTGAAGTTGCTTATTATCTTAAGAAGATTTTGGGCCGAGACGACGTGGTCTTCTAAATATACAACCATGTCATCTGCAAATAGAGACAATTTGACTTCCTCTTTTCCTGATTGAATACCCTTTATTTCTTTTTCTTGCCTATTGCTCTGGCCAGAACTTCCAATACTAAGTTTAATAGGAATGGTGAGAGAGGGCACCCTTGTCTAGTGCCAGATTTCAAAGGAAATGCTTCCAGTTTTTGCCCGTTCAGTATGATGTGGGCTGTGGGTTTGTCATAAATAGTTTTTATTATGTTGAGAAACGTTCCATTGATACCTAGTTTATTGAGAGTTTTTAGCATAAAGAGCTGTTGAGTTTTGTCAAAGGCCTTCTCTGCATCAACTGAGATGACCATGTGGTTTTTGTCTTTGGTTCTGTTTATGTGATGGATTACATTTATAGATTTGTGTATGTTGAACCAGCCTTTCATCCCCGGGATGAAGCCTACTTGATCATGATGGAGAAGCTTTTTGATGTGCTGTTGCAATCAGTTTGCCAGTATTTTATTGAAGATTTTTCCATCTATGTTCATCATGGATATCGGCCTGTAGTTTTCTTTTTAGCTGTGTCTCTGCCAGGTTTTGGTATCAGGATGATGTTTGTCTCATAAAATGAGTTAGGGAGGATTCCCTCTTTTTGTACTGTTCGGAATAGTTTCAGAAGGAATGGTACCAGCTCCTCTTTATGTGTCTGGTAGAATTTGGCTGTAAACCTGTCTGGACCTGGACTTTTTTTGGTTGGTAGGCTATTAATTGCTGCCTCAACTTCAGCCCTTTTTAGTGGTCTATTCAGGGTTTCAACTTCTTCTTGGTTTAGTTTTGGTAGGGTGCAAGTGTCCAAGAATTTATTCATTTTTTTCCAGGTTTGATGGTTTATGTGTATAGAGTTTGTAGTAATCTCTGATGGTGGTTTGTATTTCTGTGGAATCAATGGTGATATCCCCTTTATCATTTTTTATTGCATCTATTTGATTCTTCTCTCTTTTCTTTTTTATTAGTTTGGCTAGAGTTCTGCCTATTTTGTTGATCTTTTCAAAAAACCAGCTCCTGGATTTATTGATTTTTTGAATGGTTTTTTGTATCTCTATCTTTTTCATTTCTGCTCTGATCTTAGTTATTTCTTGCCTTCTGCTAGCTTTTGAATTTTTTTGATCTTGCTCCTCAGTTCTTTCAATTTTGATGATAAGGTGTCAATTTTAGATCTTTTCTCACTTCTCATGTGAGCATTTTTGCTATAAATTTCCCTCTAGACACTGCTTTAAATGCGCCCAGTGATTCTGGTACGTTGTGTCTTTGTTCTCATTGGTTTTGAAGAACATCTTTATTTCTGCCTTCATTTCATTGTTTATCCGTCATCACTCAGGAGCAAGTTGTTCAGTTTCCATGTAGTTGTGTGGTTTTCAGTGAGTTTCTCAATCCTGAGTTCTAATTTGATTGCACTGCGGTCTGAGAGACTGTTTGTTATGATTTCAGTTCTTTTGCATTTGCTGAGGAGTGATTTACTTCCAATTATGTGGTCTATTTTAGACTAAGTGTGATGTGGTGCTAAGAAGAATGTATATTCTGTGAATTTGGGGTGGAGAGTTCTATGGATGTCTATTAGGTCCACCTGGTCCAGATCTGCATTCAACTCCTGGATATCCTTGTTGATTTTCTGTCTCATTGATCTGCCTGGTCTGGATAATATCCTGAAGAGTGTTTTCCAGCTTGGATTCATTCTCCCTCTCACGTTCAGGTACACCAGTCAATATTGACAGTGGAGTGTTAAAGTATCCCATTATTATTGTGTGGGAGTCTAAGACTCTTTGTAGGTTGTTAAGAACTTGCTTTATGTATCTGGGCGCTCCTGTATTGGGTGCATATATATTTAGGATAATTAGCTCTTCTTATTGCATTGATCCGTTTACCATTATGTAATGTCCTTCTTTGTCTCTTTTGGTTTAAAGTCCATTTTAGTAGAGGCTAGGATTGCAAACCCTGATTTTTTTTTTCTCTCTGTTTGCTTGTTAAATCTTCTTCCATCCCTTTATTTTGAATCTATGTGTTTCTTTGCATGTGAGATGGGTCTCCTGAATACAGTACACCAAAGGGTCTTAACTTTGTATCCAGTTTGCCGGTCTGTGTCTTTTGATTGGGGCATTTAGACCATTTACAATTAACATTAATATTGTTATGTGTGAATTTGATCCTGCCATTTTGTTACTGCTGGTTGTTTTGCCCATTAGTTGACACAATTTCTTCATTGTTTCATTGGTCCTTATCATTTGGTATATTTTTGCAGTAGCTGGTACTGGTTGTTTCTTTCCATGTTTACTACTTCTTTCAGGGGCTCTTGTAAGGCAGGTCTAGTGTTGATGAAATTTCTCAGCAATTGCTTGTCTGTAAAGGATTTTATTTCTCCTTTACTTATGAAGCTTAGTTTGACTGGATATGAAATTCTGGGTTGAAAGTTCTTTTCTTTAAGGATGTTGAATATTGGCCCCTACTCTCTTCTGGCTTGTTGGGTCCCTGCTGAGAGATCCGCTGTGAGTCTTATGGGCTTCCCTTTGTG